CCCCCCCCCCCCCCCCCCCCCCGCCCCTCGGCCTGCTCCCCGGCCGGGGCCGATATCGACTTGTGAGTCCCTCGCGGGCGAACTAGGCCACAACAGATAGTAGGCTGGTGGTGTCTCAAGGTGCAACTCACCGCCGCGCTGGCTCACCGTGGCGGTGAGGATGCACAGACGGTGGTAGTGGCGAGAGGTGTGTATGGACACTGTTCCCGCAGCAGTAATGCAAAGCGGCAAACTGCACCTTGCAACCCCCCTCGCGAAAAGCGTGGCCCGCGAAGCTGGAGGAGTAGAGAGATTCGTAAACACCACGTCAGTATGCACCGCTCGCAGGAGAAGGGAGGCAACCGCGGGCACCGCGGGGAGGGAGTGCTGCACCCTCCTCGTCAAAACACTACAGGCAAGAACCGAGCTCTGCAGAGATGGATTAATGCGAGGAAACTCGCCGCTCGGAAAGTACGGAAGAAAGCACACCCGCAACGCGAGGCGGCCCGAGAGAGACACGAGACCGCAGCGGCCGTCAAGGCGGCTGCGAAGAGGAAGGCACGAGAGGGCGACCTATCATTCGGCACGTTCAACGTACGCACGCTCGCCTGCAGCGGTAGGAACCCCATCGGTCACAACGTGATGACGGTCATGCAGATTTGTTCCGCGACCGGCTGTGATGTGATAGGACTTCAGGAGACCCGACGAGCGGGGCAAGGTTCAATTGCACACGACGGGTACGTGATCATCTGGAGTGGCGCCCGTGCTGGCACCAAGGACAAGAGGGGCGTACACGGTGTGGGCATAGTGATCAAGGAGGCCATGTGGGAGAGTGTGGGCGAGGAAGGTAGGACGGTGGAGTGCATTTGCCCGAGGCTGATGAAGGTGCGTCTACAAATTGGCCGCACCTGCGGAGTAGCTTTCGTGGTGGGGTACGCCCCCACGGAAACTGTCCGCACCACCGCGGGCGGTGATGTTAACGCCAAGGACTCCTTCTGGACTGCTCTCGACGCAGCGATCCGGGAGGTTCACAGCCGTGACCATCTCGTGGTGCTAATGGACGCCAACGCACGCACTGGTAGGAGGCGAGACGGGTGCTGCGATGCCAAGATTATGGGCGCGTACGGACGCGACATTATGAACAACAACGGGGAACGACTCCTTGGACTGGCATCAGACAACCAACTCTCCCTGACCAACACCTACTTCCGGACACCGAAGGGTGGAGTGCAGCACACATTCCAGAGCTCCAACAAGGGAAAGGAGAAGTACCGCCTCGACTTCATCCTCATGCGTCAGGCGGACCGGCGTTTCGTGCGCAATGTCTCCGTCAAACGTGTCGACTTCAAAGACTCTGACCACAACCTCGTGCTTACGACTGTCCGCCTCCCCCCCCGTGTCGCACCCAACCGACGAGTGCGGGGGAACAGCGGAAGCAGGCGGATCCGTATCGACCTCGAGCGGTTGAGGAAGGACAAACACCTACGGGACGCCTTCCAAAACAGGGCCTCCAGCCGCCCTCCGCCCACGGCGCTCAGGCGGCCAACGGGAGAGACCGCCGCCGAGCTGACGGCTACGGTGATGTCGGCCGCTGCTGAGACCGCGCCGCTGGCGAGGTGCGCACGAGGGCAGAGAGGCTGGTACACAGCTAAGCGCAGCACGAGATCTTCGAAGCGTCTAAAGAGATTAAGGCGGCACAGCAGCAACTGCGTGGGGCCTCAAAGAATAGCGCCTTCGAAGCGACCCTGAAGACGATGCTCAAGGCGGCGCGGAAGAAGCGTAGCATCGCGAGGTGGAGAGCACTGGAAACGTT